CCAGCGCGGCGCTGCTGCCGGATAAGTCCCGGCACGGCAACATCTGCTCGCCGCGGTCGCACCTAGGGCAATTCGGACAAGTGCACAGCCCGAACAGATGGCGCAATGTCGCGCTCCCAATCACACGGAAACCTTCCAAGCTCGCAATCGGATCCGCAGCGAGCATCCTCCTGCACTCCGCCCAGGAAGGCACTTCGGAAAGCATCGCCGCAATCGGGGAGCCCCGGCGAAAATCATCCGTCTCAAGAGCGAGCTTCGGCCAATCCCGACTACCAGCCTCGCGCGGCGCAGTCGCGTCGTTCGCTGCCCGGCGGCCGGGGCCGCGCCTTCGCACGCGCGAGACCCGCGCCGTGATCACGCTGCGCCCTTCGTCGAGTGAGTCGCGCAGAATCCTAAACCTCGCATCGCGAAATCTTCTCATGGGGGGCTTCTCGCGGTCTCTCTCCTGAACGTTTCGGAGCGACGGGGGCCTCCAAACAAGCCAGCGGGGCCCAGACAACGCCCAAGACGGCCCCAGACGCCCCGACTGCTCAAAGATCGCGCCCCACACGCCCTGCGCGGCGTCGAGGTGTCCCAAGAGGCCGCCAAGATGTCCCAGGAAGCCTCGAAACTGCCTCCCAACAGGACCTGAAGAGGCACAACAATGATTCGCCTTGGTCGCCTCAAAGATCCCGGCGTTCCCGAGACCCCGAAAACCGCCCCAGCACTGCCGCAGAGGCCGCCCGGAGAACCCCGCGACGGCCCCTAGAGCGGCCCAAGAGAAGGAACACAAACCAAAAGTAGCGCCCCGCCCCCAGAGGCCCCCAGGAGGCCCCAAGAGGCACCCAAGCGGCCCCAAAATGCCGCAAGAAAACCCCAGAAGACCCGACGGCGACCCCGCGAGGCTCCAAATCTGGCCCCAAAAAGAATCCGAGATGCAACGAAGAATCTGGAGACTCGTCGCTCAATTGGGGTCGGCGGCAGAGGCGGCAGTCCTTAGAATAGGTCGGGGGGCAGCTCCGGCATAATGGTTGGTCGTGCTTGGTCGTTGGAAAATTACCTGGCGCGCATGAAATCAAAGAACAAATGCATGGTCACTTTGCAAATGCATGCGGAGACGGAACTACAGACAAGGTTAGAAAGGCGCCCGCTGGATTTGATGATCCGTCGGAAAACTTCTCGCGCGCGGCATTTGTCTCAAACTGCTTCCGCAATGAAGAAGGCAGACCATTATCAGTGCCCCCCCGCGCCCAGAGGCCCCACTTGTAGAACTCAGAGCAAATGCGCTGCATATCCTGCAACCAGCTGCGCGACTGGCGTCGATAACGATGCGCGCCGCAGGGCAGGCATTACATTGAGAACATGCCTCTGAATTATGGGAAAGAAGCGTTCGTAGAGGACGACGCATATTACATGCATAAGCCAACCATCGTAAGGAAACGGCTAGCAAAACTGCAACTAACGCGCGACGCGCTACGCCTGCTGCCCCGACGGCGCAACAACAATAAAGCAGTGACAGAAGACATCCCAAGCGCGCGAGTGTTTCTCTCATGCCACAGGTGACCCTACAGGTGGAAAAGAGAACACCAACTTCAGAGAGATCGTCCGCGGTGTTCGGGCCACGCAGAAGCGGTTCCTCAGTGGGCAGCCAGGGCTCTTAGACGCATTGGAAAAATTAGTGAAGCTTTTACACGTGCAGCTTGGATCGCCAACCCAGTTCCCCGCCTCATACGACTTACAGCTTCTGTGTAGGTACTCATTGCCATGTTTGTGCGCACATGTTGTCGGTGTAGGGTAGAAAATGCCCTGTATATCTTTGCATGGCAGACGCGTCGCAACTTGCTTAATGATGCGAGTTTCGCACGAGGCGCAGACTGCATTCGAGAGCTGTTGGACAGAACAACGGCCAAGCGCGATGCGACCAGCATTGCTGTCCGACGGTGGAAAACATCTCCTGAATATTTGCTCGCGCCTGGAGAGAAGATCAGACCACACCATGACCGAGCCAGGCCATGACCAACTATGTTAAATCTGGGAAGTACGTTGCAGTTGGATCAGCTATCTTTGAATGCACGCAAGGCTGGACCATGGGAGCACTGCACCCAAAACCAGCGACCCTTGTGGACTGGGGCAGTTGCATTCAAAAGCTGTACAAGCAGCCCCACTACGCTACATATGTTGGACTTTATTGCCGTGACATCCTCACGGACGGCGTCATACAAGGCCTGCTGTATGTGGATGATAGTCTCGGGAGATCTCGAGTCTTGTGCAGGAGATGAATGTTCGAATACATCCGACGTATGTTCCCTAAGCCTGTTGGTTTCACACTCGAAGGTGATCAGTTGCCGCTTGCCTTCTACAAAGCCACATGCTTCGAAGCATGCAAGGTGAAACTAAACAAATTAAGCAAACATGTGAGACGCATGCACCCATCGGTTAATCACGAGTACGCAAGAGGAAAAGCCCCAGCTCCAAAGTGTGCTTATTTCCAGCTTACTTACCTTGCCCTCGCACTGTTCCCAGGTTGTTCTCCCAATCTGGGATTTAGGAGAGAATCATCACGTGTAATTTTATGGCTGAAAGTGGCCCCCCTAACCGAATACAGATAGCCACATGTTATGTTTGTTTTGAGGTCCGTGCCCTGGGTTGGCCCACAGAACACGTCGGGAAAAGCCTCACATCGATTCCCCAACGACACACCTCGGCCTATATCACCAACGTCCGCCGTTTGGGGAGAACGCTCTGTCGAGGCAAGTCGGCTCTTGAAGAGATGCGTGCAAGAGAAAGGTTCTGAAGGCAATTAGTATCCCAGAAACTGTTTACATTGTACCTATCCCTTCCCCAACCCCACCCTGATCCGTAGCGTGCGTTGGCCCAAGAAAGCTAGCAGACAGAGCATCCTTCCCTAGACATTCCCCATTTTCGCACAGCTAGTACCGGCAGGACTAATGGGCAAAGGAGGTGGTGGCAAGCAGCAAGCACAATGTCGAAAAATGATATGACAAGCAGCATGATAAACAACACCAGCCGCAGCGGCAGCAGACACAGCGGCGAGCCTCACAGCCTGCTCCAAAGTACTCGGAGCGGGTCTTCTGGGGCCATTCGGCCATGAACAATTCTGACGAAATGGCCCGCATCTTCTGGGAAATAATGGAGAAGACGAAAAACAAGAGAATGGAGGAGGAGGAGAAAGAGAAGCAAAGCTACAGAGCCATGATTCGGAACACCAACACCGTCAGTGACATCTTCGGCATCGGATCACCGGATTAAGACGGTAAGAAGAAGGAAAAATGAAAGAAAGACAAGGTCAAGCAGAAGGCCCAACAGCCGGTCAGTTTCCTGAAGACAGCAGGAGCGCGTAGATTGCGTCCAACGGTGAGCGAGACATCGAATTCAAGCAGTAGGCAGTTCGACTGCGGCCAAGGACTTCAAGCAAGTTAGAAAGATGCACCAGCGGAAGACTGAGAGGGCGAAGATCCAGGCGGCAAAGAACCAGAAAACCATGATGGCCATCTTTACGAAATTGATGAACGTTTGGTCGGCCACATCGAGAACATGAGGCAGATGCAGAATCGCCTAGAGGTGAAACGACAGCGCCTGAGGATATCATCAAGATCGCCAAGAAGACCCTCCCGAATCGTGATACGTCGGACTGGGACACTGAGAAAGGAAGTGATTGGATCTAAAAGTTCATGCCGGTCCCCGAGGCATGCCAGAGTAAGTTGAATACACACCTCGAGGCGAATGGACTCAGCACCACCACAGGCAGGGACGAAACAACGAGGGTCAATCAACTCAGCAAGAAAGCTTGTGGACCAGACACTGACATGGACAGCAGCAAATCAGCAGGAATGACGTCCCGAGTACCTAACATACAGATTCGTGAGTCACCGGGTGCGCCACCTCTTTCGCCGTTGTGCTTTTCTGTGGCTGCCATTTGCATTAGCCACTGATGCATGTGCAGAGGTGGTTCGCAGGCTACCTTACATGCGACAGAGTGTCGTGGGCCCGCTCGTGTTGTTTTGTGCTCAACTCCCCATTCCAGCTGCTGTCATCCAATTTCGGGTGGGCGCAGCAGCAGCAAATTGCATCTGTACCCCCCTCATATTAAATTATCGTGATGCAAATATTTCTGACAGCACACGTAAAAATTGAGTTTAGTTGTCTGCATCTAAGCCACCTTGCCATGCACAGCCCAAGTGTATTGTGCGTGGCAGTCGCGTCTATAGGATGTAGTGCTGCTCACTTGATCGCGCAGTTCCTTGTATGTGCCCCGTACACGTACTCTTCCATTTTGAATCTGAATTACCTGGAAATGATTTCATCAATCTTGTGCCCGAAGTGGGAAGGCGTGACCACACCGTCTAGCGGATGCCGACGCTGGACGCGAGTCCTGGATCTTGCAGGGCAAGGCACGCGGAAGGGTAGGGGCGGGGAGGAGGGGAGAGGAGAAAGGACACAGTCTCAGGAATCATCGTCCCACTCAGCTCTCCACAGCGTAGCCAACGTTGCCAGACCAGCAGCAGCAGCAGCAACAGCATCATCACCATCACCATCACTATCACTATCGTCATCGCCAACATCACCATTATAATCACAAACCTACCCACCCACCCACCCACCACCACCACCATCATCATCATCACAACCACCATCATCATCATCATCATCGTCATCATCGTCATCATCTTCATGAGCAACATTATCATCACCACCATCATCATCATCATCATCATCGTATTAATCAGCATCATGATCATCATCATCAGCATCACTATTATCATAATCATCCTCGTAATCATCATCGGAATCATCGATATCATCATCATCACCATCATCATCACAATCATCATCATCATCATCAGCAGCAGCAGCATCATCATCATCATCACCACCATCACCATCATCATCATCCGAAGCATTACTGACATATCATCACCGTCAGGCCTCACCCCTCCTTCTCCTCCTCTTTCGTGGCCGCTGCCCACCCTCCACCCCGACCAGCGACAGCCAAGAGTCTCCTGGATCTTCACGCCGTCCTCGTTGTCTTCTGGCCCGGCGTCGATCTCCAGGACGTCCCCCATGCCGAACAGTCTGTTCCCCACGGCTCCGGCGGCTCCAGCTCGCCTGCCCACTCCCTGCCTCCACCCGCAAGGGGGACGGCAGGAAAGAGGAGAGGAAGTGGGCAGAGGAGGACTCAGAGGAGGAAGAGGATGCACCGGGGGACAAAGAGGAAGAGGAAGAGGAAGATATAGTGACCGAGAGAGAGAGAGAGAGCGAGAAAAAAAAAACAAATATGAGAACGAGAAAGATGAATCAAAGAGAAAGAAACAACAAATAGAAAGCGAAAGAGAAATATGTTGAGAAAGAGGAAGAGGAGGAGCAGCAGCAGGAGGGAATGAGGAGGAGAGTGGACGAGGAGAGTGGAGAAGGAAGAGGAAGGACACAAGAACTGAAGGGGGAGAGGGAAGCCTTCGTCTCGTCACCCTCCTCCCCCATCCTGTCCTTATAAATACCTCCTCCCTGTCGCACCCCCAGACGTGTCCGTAGGCTGGGTCGGGCGTTTCGCCAGAGAGCTACTCGCTATTTATCATTCCAGAGCTCGAAATTTACAACGGTTTCAAAGATGGAGGGAGATGGTTTTCAAACTGTGGCTTTCGCCTCAGCGCCGCATCTTTCCCTTCTACAAGTTCGCAACAGCTGCAAAGACGGAGGCCAATTCCTTTCCAAAATGTTACTCTCGCTCCAGTGCCGCGCACATTATTATTAGACGTTTGTAGAAAATTGACGGATGCGTAGGGTGGGCTTCCCAGGAATGGCATCCTGGCAAGATTTAGGATTGTCACCGATATCCTACGAACAGTGTTCTGGCACGACTCAAGATTCCCAATCAAGTAACCTCGGAAATGAAAATGTGTCCGAGTCCGATCAAAATCATCAGAATGAAAAAAACTGTTGCTTGATTGCCCTTCTCTTGTCCTGGCGAGGCTTCCTTTTTCCAAGAAGCTCCTGCAAGGTTAGATGGGAAATGTATTTTGAAACCTATGGAGACGGAAGATGGAGGGAGAATGTACTGCACAATGCTGGAGCGCATTCGGTTTACACTGCTCCTCCTATTCCTCCTCATGACCATCATCATCAACAGCATCATCCTTTTCATAACCATTATCACCATGATCCTCATCATTACCATCATCACCATCACCACAACCATCATTATCATCATCACCATCATCACTATCACCACCACCACCATGATCATCATCAGCACCATCATCATCATCATCATCATAATCAGCATCATCATCATACTCATCATACTCATCATCATCATCATCATCATCATCATCATCATCATCATCAGCATCATGATCATCATCATCATTATCATCATCATCCTCATCCTCATCCTCATCCTCATCCTCTTCAGCATCATCATGATCATCATCATCATGATCATCATCATCATCATCATCATCATCATCATCATCATCATCATCATCATCATCATCACCATCACATCATCCTGAGACCCCTCCTCGGCCTCCTTCTCCTCCTCCCCCTCCTCCTTCCCCTCCTGCTGCAGCCGCGGCCCTGGCATCCGTCCCTCTTCAGGGCGGCCCTCCCCCGCTCTCGCATGCCCCCGCCCAGCTCGCAAAGGCCGCACCACGCGGGATGCAGAGAGCTTGTGCACCAGCTGTTGTATCTCACAACCCTCGAAGACGCCCCGGGCCGACCCGGCGGCCCACATGATGCCCCGGCTCCCGAGGCGTGACTGTAAAAAGAAAGAGAGAGAGAGAGAGAAAAAAAAAAAAAAAAAGAGGAGAGAGAGAGAGAGAGGCATGTGCACAGGGCCGAGAGGGCCTGATCTTGGATATCGGTGGCATCCTTTCTCCTTCCTCCTCCCCCCTCCCACATTCCCTCCCCACTCACCCCCTGCTCGGCGTTTCGCATCCTCGGGCACGCCCATCCCAGGGGGGAAAGGGAGGTAAGGGAGAGGAAAGGCAAGCTAGGTGCGCTCGCGCCAGATCTGACATCCGACCCATCCCATCCATTCCTTCCAATAGCGCTGATGCTTTCTCTTTCCGCCAACGGGTGTCATTGCGGACCTGAAACCGTCAAAAAAACACACCACCTCGGTATGCACAATGAGAAAACAGGAGCTGTGTACAATTGGAAGAGGAGGAGGAGGAGGAAGAGGAGGAGGAGGAGGAGGAGGAGGAGGAGGAGGAGGAGGGGGTGGCGGATGAGCAAGAGGATGAGCATGAGGAAGACGATGAGGATAAGGAAGACGAGAAGGATCAGCAGCAGTCGAAGCAGGAGCGGGAGGAGCGGAAGTAGCAGGAGGACCAGTTGAAGGTGGAGGAGGTGAAAGGCTCGGTGCGACAACGACGGTGAAGGACTTGGATCCAGAATGGTGGCCCGCGCTGGGGCGAGATCGCCATTTTGACTGACGGGGGCAAGGCGTCGATCCCAGAACGAAGCCAACGCTGCAGCAGGAACATCAGTTCGGAACACCGAACATGCTCCGATTGAAAAAAACATACTAAGCAACAAAAACAAACACATCTTGACATTCGATCAGTTAAGACAGTGTGCGGCAGAAAACGGGCCACGCGCGGACATGATCTGGGAAAAGAGGAGGGTAGCATTCGGATTGAACAACTGTGGAAGAGGAGGTGAGGGGACGGGGAAGAGGGGGACGCCGAGAGGGAGATCGAGAGGGATGGCGGGAAGAGACGGGCGTGGAGGTGGGAGTGGAGACGGGGATGGGGAAGGGGAGGGTGGAGGGGGAGGGGGGTGGGGAGGGGAAGGGAAGAGTGAAGAGGAGGGTGGAAAGGGAAGAGCAGGAGGGGAGGGGGAGAGAAGAGGGGGAGGGGGCAAGCTAGGTGCGCTCGCGACAGATCTGACGCTGATGTTTGTTGATCTGCCGACGGGTGACACAGCGGACCTGGACCCCGACAGGACACCATCGTGATACATGCGCAATCAGGCAAGGGAAGCTGCATATTAGAGTAAAAGAAAGCAGATGAGCTGGAGGATGAGCAGGGTTGGCGGCGAGCGAGGGGGGGAAATGAGAAGGAGAAGGTCTTCTCAGAAGGCGGCGGGATTTCTCAGAAGCCCTCGCGCCTTCTGAGAAGTGTTCTGTGTCTTCGGGGAAAGCTTCGAAAACTTCTCAGAAGGCTGGGGGACTTCCGATCCTTCCGAGAAGGCCCGCCCCTTCTCACTTCCTCCCCTCGCTCGCCGCAGGCAGGGGGAACAGGATGATGAAGAAGGAGGACGAGGAGGAACAGCAGAGGCTGAGTTAGGCCGCGCGCGTCGGCTGCGTCGGTGCGCACGCGGCCCGCTCGCAGCGGGGCCCTCCTCGGACTCGAGGGCCCCGGGGCGCAGGAGCAGGAGTGGGAGGAGCGGTAGTAGCAGGAGGAGGAGGAGGAGGAAGACCAAGGGAAGGGGAAATGAGAGGAGGAGGAGGAGGAGGAGGAGCAGGAGGAGGAGGAGGAGGAGGAGGAGGAGGAGGAGGAGGAGGGGGAGGGGGGGAAAGGAGAGGAAACGAGAGGGAGACGAGGAAGGACTCAGATTCAGAAGAGTGGCCCGCGCTCGGGCGAGAGCGCCAGTCAGAACGGCGGAAGCAGAGCGCCGATCCAGGAGTGAGGTCCACGCTGCAGCGGAAGCGATATGTGAGAAGGACCGAACACGTTCGGACTGATAAGGCACATGGGAAAAACAACTCGTACCAATCCGGTGCACAAGTAACCCTACGCAGGAGGAGGCGCGCCACTCTCACAACGTCCTCGGGGAGAGAGGAGAGTAGCGTTCATATTGAGTGACTGTAGAATGAGAGGGGGGAAGGGAATACTCAGGGTGAGAGAGACAGGAACTGATGGGAGCAGTGGGGTAGGGACCGGGGAGTTGGAGGCGGTGAGGAGCCAGGAATGGGAAAGGAAGAACACGGGGTTCGAAGACGAGAGCAAGCGTCGTCGCCCAGAATTCACGCTGGATGACCCAACAATTTACCTGTCCTCCTCATCCCTCCCCCGTCATCCCTCCGCTCAACGCGTTTATCCTTGTACTCCTCCTTATCCCCTCGTCAACATCGTATGATACCATCGGCATCATGCTCACGATCGCCTTCAACACTACCGCGCAGACATCCCCAACATGCCCCTCAAAACCCTCCTCCTCCTCCTTCTTCTCCTCCTCCTAATCCCTGTTCCTCCGCGCCTGATTCGTACCTCTCCCTACCGAATCCCTGTTCACTTGTGGAAAAGCAGGATGTCCTCTGGGTTGGCGACCCGATCTGCGAACTGCTGTCCAAACGACTGGCCGCTGAGGGTGTCGAAGCCTGTATGCTCCACTCTCAGCCTGGGTGCCAGCGATATCATCCTACTGATCTGTATACTCATTCCCAGGCACATCGTCGGTATCGTCACCCTCACCATCATAAGACGGCGCATCATCATCATCATCATCATCATCATCATCATCATCATCATCATCGTCATCATCATAATCATCATCAGCATCATCAGCATCGTCAGCATCGTCTTCATCTTCACCATCATGATCATGGTCATAGCCATCACAGCAACATCATCATGATCCTCTCATCGTCGTCGTCACCATCATCACCACCACCGTCATCATCATCATCATCATCATCATCATCACCATCATCATCATCATCATCATCATCATCATTAATTATCGTCGTCGTCGTCGTCGTTGTCGTCTTCAGCGTCGTCGTCGGCATCGTCATCGTCAGCAGTATTGATATGACGGCGCGCTGATTATCATTTAACCCTATCGATTAGTTATTTCTTCTTGGGTTTGGGGGGAAATTCGAGGGTTACCTTCGAATTTCCCAAGAATCTCAATACGTTCTGAAACAAAACTAAATTCAATTTTATTATTCAGGGGCTGGCCTGGGGCTTGAAATTACAAGGTAACCCTGAAATTTCCGAAGAAGAATAAAAGCTTCAAATTATTATTCTTGGCGTGCGCGGTCCTGCTGCTTTAGCATGGAGGGTGAATTTGAGGCGCGCAACGTAAATTATTCTTGGCTGGGCGGGTGGCAAGGAAGGTTTCCCTGAATTTGCCGGTGGGGGACAGCCTATCGGGGGAAGCCTATGGAAGCCTGTGAAGGGCGGCCTGCGAGGGGCAGACTCTGGGAATCCTTAGGGATCCCTTGGGAATCCCTAAGGGATTTCTAAGGAATCCTTAGGAATCCCTAGGGCATCCACAAGAATCTCAAGGGAATCCTAAGGAATCCCGAGGGCATCCCTAGGAATCCCTGGGGTATCCTTAGGAATCCTTCAGGGCTCCTCAAGAATCCTAAGGGAATCCTGAGGGATCCCTTGGGAATCGTCAGGAATCCCTAAGGAATCCTTTGGAATCCCGAACGTGTCGTTAAGAATCCCCGCGGACTCCAGAAACCCTCGGGAATCCTTATGTCGGGAATCCAAGAGAATCCCTGCGGAATCCTTGGGATTCAAAGCGGAATCTTCAAGAGTCCCTCGGGAATCCTGAGGAATCTCTCGGCGCTCCCAAAGAATCCCTTCGGAAATCCTCAGGAATCCTTCGGGGATCCTGCGGGGTCCTCAGGGAATCCGCCGACCCCTTGGGGTCATCGGCGTGTGAGATGCTTCCCCCCTCCCCAAACCCCTCCCCCCGGAGCCTGGTCCGGTCGTTTTGGAGGGGGGGGGGGGGGGGTCCGGCCGGATTCCCCGGGATCCGCCGGCGCGGTCCGGGGGGGGTCATCCGCTCCAGAGAGTCTGCTGGGGGGGCCGCAAACGAGCGAAGAGGCTCCCAAGAAGCTCTGCAGACGGTCCAAGAGGGCCCCGAGTCGCCGAAAAAACACTCGAAGACGGTCAAGATGGCCTCCAGATGGCCCCAGATGCCTCCAAGACGCCCCAAGAAGCTTCCAAGACGCCTCCCAAGATGGCCCCAAGAGGCCAAAATCGTCGATTTCCATTGGTTTTTTCAACGTTTTTGGCCTTCGCGTTTTTTCGGGCTTCCGACGCTCCAAGACGGCGAAAGAAGCCCCCAAGACGGCATCAAGACGACCCGAGAGGCTCCCAAGTGGGCCCCAACACGGCCCAAGAGCGCCTCAAAACGGCTCAAGAGGGCCTTCAGACAGTCCAAGAGGGCCCACAGAGGGGCCCAAGAAAGGCTCCAGACGGGGACCACGAACCTAAAATTCTAGCCTTCCGCCCCAAAAGGCGCCAAGGAGGCCCCAAGAGGCCTCCAAGAGGCTCCAAGAAGCCCCCAAGAGGCCCCCAACAAGCCCAAAAAAAGCCCCAAGCTGCCCCAAAACAGCTCCCCAGAAGCCTCCAAACTGCCTCCCGCAGGCCCCCGAGAGGATTCTCACGACGACGGCGCCAGAGGCTCCCACAACGGTCAACGAAGCCCCCAAGATGGCCCCAAAAAGGTGCCCAGCCTACGCCGTCGAGTCTGTCGCCGCCATTGTCGTCCTCGTCGTGTTCTCCTGCTCCTTCTCATCCTCCTCTTCCGCCCCCTCCTCCCGTCTCCCCTCTCAGCTTTCTGTCTCGTATTCCCTCCACTGGCTCACTTTTCACCTTCTCCGCCTTTGGCTGCTCCCCCATCCTCCCTCCTCCACGTCCCCCTTATCCATCCCGTCCCCAGCGGTCAGATTCCTCGCAACTTCCGTGCCTTGTCGCAATGCTCGTCACTTGGTTCCGCCGGGCGTTTCGGAGGGTCTCTCCGCGGCGCTCGTCCCGCTTTAAAACACTTCGCGCACACAACTGGGTTGTTTCGCTTGAAATAATTCTTCTTCTGGTCTTTCGACAAATGGCCCCCGTCTGAAAACGCTGGTTTCTTCCCGTCCCCGTTCGGTGGGCACGCGGAGCATTCAAACTTTTTCGCCCCCGTGCGCGCATCGTGACACGCGCGGCACACGACTGGGCGATGCGCCTGGCCCGTCTTCCTATAATGTACTTTCTGGTTATCGGACAAATGGCTCAAGTCTGTGAACGCGGGCGCCTTCCCATCCGCCCCCGTCGGGCATGCTCCACAACGGAAAATCTGGGCCTCCGATTTTTCGTGGCACGCGCGGCACATGACCGGGCGATGCGTTTGGCCCGTTCTCCTGTAATGTTCTTTCTGACTGTCCGATACATGGCTCACGTCTGTAAACGCGGGCCTTATCCATCCCGTCCCCAGCGGTCAGATTCTGAGCGAAGGCGACGCGCTGCGAGCCCCCCCAAGGGGTCGGCGGTGTGGCGTAAGCCCAAGAATCTTTCGGATTCCCTCGGGGCTTCTCAGGAATCCCTGGTGAATCCCGAAGAATCCCTAGGGCACCCTAAGGAACCCCAAGGGGAACCTCAGGAATCCCTAGGACATGGCCCGGCGCCCTCCGAGGAATCCAGATGACTGCCACCTTGGACGTTTTCCATGCAGCGCAAACACACCAGGTGACCCACGAAGGGGTGGGTCACCAAAACACTGGTTGAGAGAAACAAATCGCTTCACCTGCATCCTGGGCCTCGTCATGAGGCGACGCACTGCCACTCAATATGTTTGCCATGCGGCGCAAGCACACCAGGTGACCCACGAAAGGGGTGGGTCACCAGAAAAGTGGTTGAGAAAAACCAATGGTCTCACTTGCATTCTGGGCCTCAACATGAGGCGAAACATTGCCACTCAATACGGTTTGCCGTGCGGCGCAAGCACACCAGGTGACCCACGAAGGGGTGGGTCACCAGGAAACTGATTGAGAAAACCAACTGTTTCACTTGCATTCTGGGCCTCAACATGAGGCGACGCATTGCCACTTAATACGTTTTCCATACGGCGCAAGCACACCAGGTGACCCACGAAGGACCCACCAGAAAACTGGTTGAGAAAAACAAAATATTTCACTTGCAGTCCGGGCCTCAGCATGAGGCGAGGCATTGCCACCTAATACGTTTTCCATTCGGCGCAAGCACACCAGGTGACCCACGAAACGGGTGGGTCACCAGAAAACTGGTTTAGAAAAACCCATTCTTTCACTTGCGTCCTGGGCATTGCCACTGAATGCGTTTTCCATACGACGCAAGCACACCAGATGACCCACGAAGGGGTGGGTCACCAAACAACTGGTTGAGAGAAACAATTTGTTTCACTTGCATTCTGGGCCTCAACATGAGGCGATGCATTGCCACTCAGTACGTTTTCCATACGGCGCAAGCAAACCGGGTGACCCACCAAGGGGTGGGCCACCAGACAACTGGCTGAGAAAAACAATGTGTTTCACTTGCGTTCTGGGCCTCAACATGAGGCGACGCATTGCCACTCAATACGTTTTCCATACGGCGCAAGCATTCCAGGGGACCCACGAAGGGGTGGGTCACCAGAGAACTGGTTGGGAAAAACAAATTGTTTCACCTGCATCCTGGGCCTCGTCATGAGGCGACGCACTGCCACTCTGTATGTTTGCCATACGGCGCAAGCACACCAGGTGACCCACGAAGGGGTGGGTCACAAGACAGCTGGTTGAGAAGAACCAGCTGTTTCACTGGCATTCTGGGCCTCAACACGAGGCGAGGCACTGCCACTCAATACGTTTACCATACGGCGCAAGCCCACCGGGTGACCCACGGAGGGGTGGGTCACTAGAAAATTGGTCGAGAAAAACCAATGGTCTCACTTGCATTCTGGGCCTCAACATGAGGCGAAACATTGCCACTCAATACGTTTTCGCTACGGCGCAAGCACACCAGGTGACCCACGGAGGGGTGGGTCACCAGACAAGTGGTTGACAGAAACAAGTTGTTTCACTTGCATTCTGGGCCTCAACATGAGGCGAGGCATTGCCACTCAATACGTTTTCCATGCGGCGCAAGCACACCAGGTGACCCACGAAGGGGTGGGTCACCAGAAAACTGGTTGAGAAAAACAGATTGTTTCACTTGCGTTCTGGGCCTCAACATGAGGCGACGCACTACCACTCAATACGTTTCCCATACGGCGTAAGCACACCAGGTGACCCACGAAGGGGTGGGTCACCAGACAAGTGGTTGAGAAAAAAACCCACTTGCATTCTGGGCCTCAACATGAGGCGATGCATTGCCACTCAATGCGTTTTCAATGCAGCGCAAACACACCAGGTGACCCACGAAGAGGTGGGTCACCAGAGAACTGGTTGAAAAAAACAAATTGTTTCAATTGCACTCTGGGCCTCAACATGAGGCGACGCATTGCCACTCAAGATGTTTGCCATACGGCGCAAGCACACCGGGTGACCCACGAAGGGGTGGGTCACCAGACAACTGGTTGAGAATAACCAAAGGCTTCACTTGCATTCTGGGCCTCAACATGAGGCGATGCATTGCCACTCAATACGTTTTCCATACGGCGCAAGCACACCAGGGGGCCCACGAAGGGGTGGGTCACAAGACAGCTGGTTGAGAAAAATAAATTGTTTCACCTGCATCTTGGGCCT